TTTTGATTAATCTCTTGACACAGTTCTTGATTAATGGCAAAGTAAATCTTGATTAATGGTATACTAAATTTATTGCCACGAAGGTTTTATGAAAAAGCGTTTGCGCGTAGACTTGAGGCACTACAAATTCTATTTTCTCAACACCATGCGCAATCTTATATTGCTAAATTAAATTATTTCTACCTCGTCTATCTTATAGTTTGGTCAGGCCTAGAATTCTAAGCCTTTCTTTATATGATTTATGTTTGATGTCTGTGATCAGCTTCGTCGCACGCTTTTTAATGCATTCGAGAGTCATCATGTCTCCCTTCAGATGCGGCAACTACGATTGGATGGCGAATTTGAGGTGTGGTTTAACATACGATTTGTAAAAGACTTCTTAAAGTATAAGAATTCTGCTTCAGATTTCTTAAGCTAACCAAGTACATGGCGAATTGAGGGGTGGTTTAACATACGATTTATAAAAGAATTTCCAGAGTATAAGACTTCTGCTTCAGATTTCTTAAAATAACCAAGTACCTAACCAAGACATCAAACATAAATCATATAAAGCCTTTCTTTATATGATTTATGTTTGATGTCTGTGATCAGCTTCGTCGCACGCTTTTTAATGCATTCGAGAGTCATCATGTCTCCCTTCAGATGCGGCAACTACGATTGGATGGCGAATTTGAGGTGTGGTTTAACATACGATTTGTAAAAGACTTCTTAAAGTATAAGAATTCTGCTTCAGATTTCTTAAGCTAACCAAGTACATGGCGAATTGAGGGGTGGTTTAACATACGATTTATAAAAGAATTTCCAGAGTATAAGACTTCTGCTTCAGATTTCTTAAAATAACCAAGTACCTAACCAAGTACCTTGTTTGCTTTCGCAGCTGCTGCTTCAAGTTGATGCTTGACTTTAAAGTCTTCTGAAACAAGATTTTGTTCGACTGAAGTCGTACACAGTTCTTGTCGTATTCCCATCTGATTAGCTATTGTGTAAACGTAGACTGATTTGTTAAAGCAATCTACGTGCATGCATTTGTCCAATTTTGTTGAAGAGTATTAGCTACTTTATATACCATTCTATTGCTTTGTCAATGTCTAGCAAGAGACGTGCTTTGTCCTCCTTTTTTTTGATGACACCTAGTATTTTTTTGTCGTAAGCATATATTTTGATATGGTGAGCTATGTTGTCCGGTAGGTCATTTATGTAAAGGATGAAGAGCAACGGTTCTAGCATCAATCCCTGACTCCACTAGTCACCTCTTTCCACTCAGATTCAGCTTTGCCAACAACAACCATTTGCTTTCGGTTAGCCAGCCAGTTTAATATCTACCTGAATAGTAAGCCGCTTTAACCAGATTTTATGTTAGATCTTTTTACTAAAAAATCCCTGCCGTTAAGTCTTCGGTGTAGTAAAAAATTAGTACTCCCACTCATAGTCTCTAAACATAAGTTCATAAAAAGTAACTTATATAGAGCAACCTCGCTATGGAACTCCCTAGACAATGAAACTATGTCAATAAATTGTCTAAAGATGTTCAAAAAAAGTATTTTAATATGGCACGGAAAATCTTGTTTTTGTAAAATCAGTCAAAAATAACTTTTTTTATTTTTTATTTTTTATGTCAAAAATAACCAACTTGTTGTATGTATTGATATTTATATTATTTACTATGTAAGCTATTTTTATTTTATTTCATTTTTTATTCACGATATTTATGTTTGTTTGTATTGTCTTATAGAGTTTAGTGTGTTGATTTCAATTAGTTTTTTGTTGATTATAAAACTATAGTAAACATCCAACTAAAAATAAAGTTTTAAATAAATAAAAATAAATAAAAAACCTCTTAGTTTATGTAAAAGTCTTAGTTTTGTGCGGCACTTTGTCGAAGGCTTTCGCAAAGTCAGCGTATACCACGTTTATGGCATAGCCATGATGTACTGTCTCCCTCAGAATGTTGTGAGCTTCTAGTAAATTATACACCCAGCCCCGCTTAGGTAAAAAACCGTATTAAGCTTTTGTGAATAGACCATTGTTACTGCAGTGCTTCATGATTCGCTTATGAATGAAGCTCTCCATTATCTTGGATAGTACTGACGTTAGAAATATTGATCTGTATATATATATGAGCGCTTCCTTCTGCTTTCGGTCTTGAAGGTTGATGTTATAATTGAGAGTTTCCATAGATTGGGTACTTTGCCCTTGGCAAGAGAATTTCAGTAGATCATTGCTAATGGTACGGAGATCGCAGCAGAACAATTGCAAAGTCCCAATAATTAAAATCCGTGTCAGATAGTTACACCTAAAAAAATCTCAACCTACTAGTCAGAAGTCACAGTAGTGATTTTTTTTTCTTTTATTTAAAGAATGTATGCCCAAACCAAAACCCTTAATCGATGTAAGTGCGCTCCACTACGCTTATCCCTAAATCAGTTGATGTATGTATACTCACTGCGCCTATCTCTAAATCAGTGTATGTATGTACACTTAGTAAGTGCACATACATCAGGCGCAGTGAATGACTCGCTGCGCCTACCACTATATTAGTCGATGTATGTAAATAAAAAAAATCAATGTAACTTTTAATATACAACAATAATAATAACTTTCAATAAAAAATAAAATTCTATTAAAAAAGTAAAACGTATAAAAATACAGTACAAAGCCTTGTTTTAAAACAAAAAGTTTAGTTTTAACTCATCTCTTTGTATTGTGCTCTTTGATATTCAAGGATGAGCTTTTCGTGGAACAAGTAAAAACATTTTTCAAACAAAACAATGAAAACTTTTTAAATCTTGTTGAACACATTTCAAAATTTGACACTGTACTTTCTGAACATCTTTGTCGAGTAACTTCCTAGGAAAGTCATGTACATTCTTTAAGCAAAAAAAATCAAAACAAGTTATTAGTCTTCTTTCCTGTAAAGTTATTGAGTTTATCTTGTGTGAACTGCAAAAAGCTTTGTATTATACTATTCCTCTTGACTGAACTTCTAACGTAATTCGTAAAGAACAAATGATACATGTTGTTTGATTTGTGTATGCAGTTGCTGGAAAAGAAGTAAAGGTGAGGGGGCATTCTCTTGGATTTGTTCAGATCTTAGATACATATGGGCAAGACTTGACAGCTTGCTTATTAGACGAGCTTTTTTAAAAAAGGAATATTTTTACAAAATATGCATGGTAAAGGTTATGATAATGGGTGAAACATAAAAATAAAGAATAACTTTCCTGCACTCTAGCTATTATCTTTTTTAGTAATATTTAGGAGGTTAAGATTTTTTTTTTTTGATCAACCCATATATAATAGATTACATTAACAAATTAGGTAAACAATTTAACTATTAATCCACTAAATCAAACCCGTTGGGAGAGCAGGATAGACGTCCTTAATTCTTTGTGATACCACATTGATGAGATTTATGACGCTGTCAAATCAATTGTAAGATTTTAAAGTTGATGCTTTTGGAAAATGTATTACTATGGGAATTGCCAAGAAATAACAGATTTTAAATTTTGTCTTTTGGTCTCTCAGTATAAAGACTCGTTCAAATTTAATTTAGTAAGCAAAACACTTAAGATGAAAACTGTTAGCCTGCAGAGCGCTTTGAAACTAATTGAAAATGTTGATACCTTTTTGGAGAACATGAGATCAGAAAATGGGCTGGGTATTGTTATTATAGATGCCATGGAAAAGGCAGAAAAGCTAAACATCAATCCAGGGTCGTGTTGAAGAGATCTTAAAGAAACATTTACCGACTGGCAACTATAGATTCAATTTTGCTGACTCCAGTGTCTTACTGGCAGACTGATAAATTTCGTAGGGGCCTAAACACCTTCTTACACCCCCCTCGAAATGTCTCTGCATCGATCTAAAGTTCTCTGAAGAAGTTGTGGTCATGCCAAGAAAAGCAATTTTACTATGAAGACAAATCTTTGAAGTTGGTAATGGTGTCTTTTAAAGTAAATTTCTTTTTAGTAGTTTTAGACACTGAAATTAGTGATAGATTTAAACAGATGGAAAATCACTGCAAACGTTTCGAATTCCTCAATAACATAAAAAAATAAAAAATATGAAACAGATGCAGTTAAAGAAAAGTGCAATAACTTGCATTTTGTTTAGACAGCTGATGACAAGAGTGACGTCAACAGAAATAAACTGTTTGGTGAAATTATAATCTTAGCTCCAATGTTGCCGAACGATAGCTGCCCTAAAACAACATTGTCAATGTCAACATTTTCAAAACTGTTTGATTGACATCATTCCTAATGTATGCTTAGTACTAAACATTTTGCTTTTGCTCCCGGTATCAGTGGCCAGCGGAGAAAGTTTTTCTAAATTGACAATTTTTAAGAAACAATTGTGTTTATGATACTTATTCTATTTCTATTTAAAAACTTATAAAAATATTTTTTTTAGTATTTTCAAAGGATACACTTTTTTTATGATAGGGGGCGCCAAACCTTGATTTTGCATATACCAAAAAAAAATCCTTGAACCGTCCCTGCCCTAACCCTAACCGATTTGAGATAAGTTGATTTTTAATCGATTTTTCGGTCTGTGCTAAAGTTATTATTATTTTTTTAAACTAACAACAAGTAAGTTTTCCAAGCATTCATCGAACCTTATACCTCTCGATTCTGAAGACAGCTCTTCAACCACTGCGCAAATGCTGATCAAAATTTGCTCGTATTCAAATTAACAACAATATATACAAAATACATAGAGGAAATGCGCAGTTATAAAATTGAAATTGCAGTAGATTAAATATTCAATCGGTTAAAAGTTCAATAGGTCAAAAATACAGTAGGCCAACAATTTAGTAGGTTGAAAAATTTGTAGTTTTCATTAGGTGTAAATATATAAAATAAAATTTGTCGGTTAAAAATCAAAAACGTCGTAATCTACGATTTAGAAAGTTTCAAAATTATTTTGATTTTTGATTCATACGCCACCTTTTTTTCTCTTAGTGACGCATAGTGCGATTACGGACCAAAATAAAATTGTAAACATAAAAATGGTAGCTGCTTAAATCGAGTCTATATAGTAAATACTTTTAATAAGTAAATAAATAATAAGTACTTTAGTCTGCCTATTTAAATTAATGTCCTAAAAATTTAGTAAAAAAAAAATGTTTTTTGCTTCGATTTCAATGTTTTTTGTTGTTATTCCAATTACTGCATCATACCAAAGCGGTGAAAAGGTATTTTAATATTGTTCTTATTTTAATGCAAACGTTTTAGTTATTTTGTGCAAACAAACACACAAAAATAACAACAACAACAGTGTTGTTGTTGATGTTGCTTGTCAAATCCTACAGTGATAATTTAAATAGCTGATTCGAGTTATCATTGAAAAATTAAATCTAAGTTTTTAATGATTAATCACATAAAAACTTATATTAAACTTTCTTTTAAACTTGGCTTAAAAACTGGATTAAATGGTTCTTGAAAAACAAGATCAATGAATAAAGAACTTAACTGAAGATACTTCTTGTACTTTTTCTCATATATATTTTAAATGTTTTTCTCAAATATTTTACTGAAACACTGTAAAAGTAAGCTAAAGTTGTACTAAATATTTTTTATGAAAATAAAAAAGAATCACTGAGGATACAATTGTTAAAACAAGGCAGTACGCCCTAGAACTAAAGTGTAGATCCACAAACATATAAATACGCAATTGCAGATAAGAACTAGGCCAATAAAGTTTATATGGAATTAATGGAGGTGAGAAGAAAACAAATAATAATTGAATATATCTTGAAATTTTAATTCGATATAAAGCTGATCACATGGAGAAAAAACATCCTACCTAACCAAGGTATGCTCAAGTGGGATGTTAATAATGTCATGTGATATTTGTTTACAAATTATGATTTTTGTCAATTTTTTAATTAAAAACTAATAATGAAAGTGTACTAAAAACTATTCGATTTACAACAAATAATTTGATAACTTTTCATTTTTACTATATGCGTATTAAAATTTTTGTGTTTATAGGAAAGATCTCACTCAGATGGGGTTGATAATTATACATATGAACACAATGTTAAAATTGTATGAGTTTTAAAGGAGAGGCAAAAAGTATTTTTTTTGTCCCTGTTAGATGGGATGATTTTTATCTATATAAACAGTTGCTTAGTTAAGATTTTTTGTATAACCCATGAATCTTGATATGATACTGGTTGAAAGTAGCAAGACAACTTTTCTTTTTTTAGGTTTTAATGTATATCAATAAATTGGAACCATATTTTAATTGCCAAAATGGCTTATAGGATGTGCAATGCACATAGGCACAGAATTAAAAAAGCCAAAAAATTAAGATTGTGAAAAATTAGAAATACTGTCTACTACACTTTGCTTGAAAATTAAACATTTAATGGATGTTTATAAATTTTGTTCTTGATGGTTTTTCATATTTTTCTTCAAACAGTTGTAGACAATGAAATTAAGTATGAGAACCCTAATGAACAAATTATGAAAGTGAAAAACAAAAATGAAGGAGAAAATGTTATAATTTGGTCATGGCTCGTTTATTTACATAAATCGGACAAAGTATTTAGTTTTTGTTGTAAATTGTTTAATAACATTACTTCTAGTTTATTGAAAGCTAGAACAAATTACAATAGATGTGTGGTACTAACTTCAAAATTCGAAGAAAAGACTTCCTGAAAATAGATAGATTCGAAGAAAAGACTTTCCTGAGGCTTGAAGATCAGGTCAACCTGATCTTCAAGCCTCAGGAAATATTGTTATGCAATTGCTACAAAATATTCCAAGACACAATGGATATAAATTTTTTTATAGATAACTGGTATACAAATGTTAAATTAGCAACTACATTAATGAACCAAGGAATCGCTTTAGTTGTTACTGTTCGCCCAAACATGATCACTAATTGCCAGATGTCAACTGACAAAGATATGAAAGAGGTTCAATTAAAATTAAAACTTGCCAAAATGATGGGGTTGAGCTTCGTGCAATTAAATGGTTTGATAATAGATCTGTTAACATCCTTACTACCTATGAATCAGTTTCAACAACTCAAATAAGAAGATGAGATAAAAAAGAAAAAAAGGTTTTGGTCGATTTTCCCTCTGCAATTGTCATTTATAACAAATGCATAGGAGGTGTCGATCTCTTAGATGGACTATTGAGCTACTATCGCATTCCTGTTTGTTTGTTTATTCGCATTTCCTGAACAAGTGGTATCATTGGCTAATTTGTCATTTTCTTGATGTTTCTGTAGTGAAGCATGGCTAATGTATAAAAAAGATTTTGCAAACTATAAAAAAATGATTTTATAAAAAAAGTTGTCAATTGCCAAATCATTGGTTATGCAAGGAAAGAGGTTAATCAGAAAAGGAGGACCTTCAACATCAGTTGATCTGATCTATAATGGAAAGAAAAGAGGTCCTGCAGCACCAAATTTAAACAAACTTATTAGAAATGATGGGTATGAACATTGGCCAGAGTATAAAGATAAAAAAGGGAGATGTAGATATCCTGATTGTAATGTTTTCCTTAAGATGAAGTGTTCCAAGTGTGATGTCTGTCTCTGTTTTACTTTTTAATTTTTTTTTCCATGAATCCTAAATTTCAAATACACTTCTTTTAATAAGATCTAAAATCAGATAAGATAAAAAACTAGGGCTTTTTATGTAAAATAGTATTGTGTTAGAATCAAGAAATTAGTACTTTATGTGTCAGTTGTTGCCTGGAAGCAATGAACCCCGAATTGGTACCAAAAATATAAAAAATTTGTTTTATGAAATTTCATTATTATATTAAGATGATAATGACTAAAATTCAAAAAAGTATATTTTTTACACGACAAAAATATAAAGTGGGCTATAAGAGGTTAAAGTAAAAGTGTAACTGTAAACTTGATATATGTTTTAACATTGCATAATTTGAAGTTTACATAAGTTAGATATTTGCATACACTTTTGTTCACATTTTCTGATACAAAAAGTGCTGCGTCTCTTTCTTGCCATTAACTCAAGCATAATGGCTGCTGTTATTTCTGTGTTTAACACTCACGAATGAATAACGGCATCAACAAACCTCTAATATCCATTATAATATAAATAATAACCATTTTAATTATTTATATTTTTAAATTTTTTACATTTTTAAAAACAGATTTACTATACAAATAGCTTTTATCAAATGGAGCAGAATTGGTTTTCAGCTATATTTCAGGGAATATTATGTAATAAGTTCTTAATTTCTTTATCTGTGAGTGTCATTGCAGCCTCATTTTCATTTTCAGAAAGATTAAATCCAAAATATCCAGGATGAGCATACTGACAGTCTAAAGATATCTTGTTTTCAATATATTTTTTTTTAAGTTCATAAAAAGCATATCAGCTGTTTAAAAATTTCAACAGTGTTGCATATTTTTTGTTTGATCTATTTGCAACTTATCCAATTGGTTTAAATATTTTCAATAAATATTCTGCATTTCGCTTTATCTATATGTGAATTAATTTTCTACCGATCATGGGATCCAATCTCTATTGTTTTCAAACATTGTAAAAATAATGCTCCAGTTATTGACATATTTTTCAAGTGAATCACAGCTTTGACAGCGTTTGAAAAGCATATTTACTATGATTTTAATTTAGCAAATACGATGCTGTTTGTAATTTAGATATAGATTTGTATGTTATGTATTATGTATGTAATAAGCTGTTTGTGATTAAAAGTGATTAAAAATTGTTCAAAGTACTTTAAACATTTAATAACTATTAAAATAAAAATTACTAAAATATACTCACTAAATGTTGAACATAATTTAAAGAATATTAAATAAATATTTGCAAATAAGAAAAATTTGAAAAAAAAAAATTAACTGTGAGGGAAGGGGAAGACTACCACAAGAACATACTCTTCCTCCTCCCCATGTTTCAATAATGTATATATATATATATATATATATATATATATATATATATATATATATATATATATATATATATATATAATATATATATATATATATATATATATATATATATAAATAACCCTGTAACAAAACGTTCCATTATAAAGTTGTATTTTTCTATTTAATTACACTTTATTTTATTTACACAAAATTATATAAAAACTTCAAAAATAATCATCATTTTAGTAAACAGAAAATGACGATTTTTAAATAAAAATGAAAAATAGGGATTTTAACAGGATTTTTGATTATAATTTTTTTTAGCTATGTTTTTTTTGAAAATTAATGATTATTTTTAAAAAATTTTATATAATTTAGCTTCTTTTGAGTTTCAATATGACATACTTTTGTTTATTGTTTTTTTGTTTGATAATATTATCATCTTTTTTAATATGGTAATATAGCCGTGTTAAACATCTGTTTGATGTTTAACACGGCTGTTTCACTCAATATAAAAGCGAGCTTGACGTCACAAAAATTTTTGTGTTTAAAAAAAAAAAAAAAAAATTTCCGCATAAAAAGTATAAAAATTAACTAACTTTAAATTAATAGTATTTTTTTTCTATAAATGCTTTCATCTTTAAATTAAAAAAATATAAAAGAACATTTATATTTTTTTTTAAAACAGCTGTTTCACTCAATATAAACCGTGTTAAAAAATATAAAAGAACATTTATATTTTTTTAATTTAAAGATGAAAGCATTTATAGAAAAAAAAATACTATTAATTTAAAGTTAGTTAATTTTTATACTTTTTATGCGGAAATTCTTTTTTTTTTTTTAAACACAAAAATTCTTGTGATGTCAAGCTCGCTTTTATATTGAGTGAAACCGCCGTGTTAAACATCAAACAGATGTTTAACACGGTTATATTATCATATTAAAAAAGATGATAATTAATATTATCAAACAAAAAAACGTTAAACAAAATAAAAATAAACATTGTTAAAATATTTTAAATGATTTTGGATCACTTTTCTGTTTTTGGCGATTTTTACGAAACACCTGTCTTGGGTCAACCAAGATTCGCTAACATAGCTACATGGTTGATGATTGAAATTTGGAACACTTATCAATGAATGTCTATTCTATCAGATTCCTACGTCATCCTGGTGATTTTGTTAATATAAATTAATTTTTAATGCATTTATACAAATTAAATTTACCTCTTTTAAATGTAAAATATAATTTTATTGATTGATGACATAAGTTAATGAAATTTGGACCTTTTATGCAGATGAAAATATAAAAGTTATTTTATGTACCTATTGCTATGTTAGCGAATATGTTTTCAAACTTGGCATGTTTAGCAACTTTTTCTAGTTTTTTGCGTAAATTTTTGTTTATGTTAATAAAGCAATGACTTAAGACATTAAACTTTAAAACATTTTCTCTAATATTTTCTTGCGATTTTGTTTTATGACTTAATTATCTCTGTTTCAATTAACATAAAGTTTGAGTAATGTTTTTTTTTTTTGTTTTTATAATAGTCTAATAATGTTTATAACTTGCTAATAAATATTAGAAATATATATTTTCAAATTTTTTATTGATAAAAAGTAACAACAAATTACTAAAGTTCAGCCAATTTCATCATTTGTTGCGTTTTTTCTAAACTAAAAGAACTTTTTTTACTATTATATTAAATGTCATATGATAAAACATTTTATTGTTATTTTTATTCCTTTTACAAAATTATTTTTAATATTTCAAAAGTTATAAATATTTTAGTAACACCCCAAAAGTTATAAATATTTTAGTAACACCCCCTGAAATTCCCCTGCTCTTGCTCCTTGCGCTCATAACCCTAATATTATAATACCCTAAATAATTGTAAAACTTGTAGACTCAAGGTGAGTCAAAGTGCATGTATTCAAAAAATCTGTTTCTTGAATTTCTTAAAAATCACCTGATTTTGTGTTTAAAATCACCAGAGTTTGTGAAAAAATCGCCAGAATTTGTGTTTAAATTTATGGTAATCATCAAGAAATGTTTCCTAAAGTTTATATTTCTCTAAGAATATTAATAATACTACTGGTAACAGTGAGCACAAAGGACAGTAGTTTTTTTTTCAAACTAAAATTAATAAAAAACTATTTACGATCAACCATGGGCCAGGAATGTTTGAATGGTTTATCAATAATTTTTATTAAAAACAAAATTGCTAAATTGTTGGATATACGATTTAAAGTAATTTAAATTTTTTGTAAACAGTGTTTGCAAACTTGTTTATAAATTGAAAGGTGCCTTTTATTGTACACCTAAAATATCTTTCATTAATTCTACTTAAGTATTTTATATTTTTCTTATTTAGGTTTTGATGTATGTCAATAAAGTGGGACCATATTTTATATTTTTCTTATTTAGGTTTTGATGTATGTCAATAAAGTGGGACCATATTTTATATTTTTCTTATTTAGGTTTTGATGTATGTCAATAAAGTGGGACCATATTTTATATTTTTCTTATTTAGGTTTTGATGTATGTCAATAAAGTGGGACCATATTTTATATTTTTCTTATTTAGGTTTTGATGTATGTCAATAAAGTGGGACCATATTTTATATTTTTCTTATTTAGGTTTTGATGTATGTCAATAAAGTGGGACCATATTTTATATTTTTCTTATTTAGGTTTTGATGTATGTCAATAAAGTGGGACCATATTTTATATTTTTCTTATTTAGGTTTTGATGTATGTCAATAAAGTGGGACCATATTTTATATTTTTCTTATTTAGGTTTTGATGTATGTCAATAAAGTGGGACCATATTTTATATTTTTCTTATTTAGGTTTTGATGTATGTCAATAAAGTGGGACCATATTTTATATTTTTCTTATTTAGGTTTTGATGTATGTCAATAAAGTGGGACCATATTTTATATTTTTCTTATTTAGGTTTTGATGTATGTCAATAAAGTGGGACCATATTTTATATTTTTCTTATTTAGGTTTTGATGTATGTCAATAAAGTGGGACCATATTTTAATCCTCAAGAAACTTATCATTATTACTCTCTTCCAATTTGTCGCCCAGATAAGGTTTTTTTTCTTTTACTTTTTAAATTATTATATTTAACATTAGTTAGTTTTTATTGCAATTTAATTAGCCTAGATTTTTAATTAATTTTGTATAACTGTAAAATCTTGTGCATTTACAAATGTTTATGTTGTTTAGTTTATGTTGTTATGATTTTGTTGTTATGTTTATGTTGCTGTGTTTGTTTTTTTTGTTATGTTTATGTTGTTATGATATTGTTATTATGTTTATGTTGCTGTGTTCATATTGTTATGTTTATGTTGTTTTGTTTATTTATAATATAAACTTATATAAAGTTTATTCATATTTCAATTTGAGGTTGAGCATCGAAGTTTAACTCTTGGAGAAGTATTAGATGGAGATCGCATGGCAGTTTCAATGTATGATATAAAATTTAAACGTGAGTTTCAAATTCTTTTATACATATATATAAGATATCAATATTCTAATTTATTAATTATGAATTTGTAAAATTATTATGATAAAAAAAAAATTTTTTTCATAATTTTTCAGATGACATAGAGAATGCTAACGTATGTACAAAATCTATGAATGAAAAAGATATTGAACAACTCAAGCATGCTATTGAAGATCTTTATTACTTTGAGTTTATACTAGGTACTTTTTTTAATTATATTTAATTTTACCTTTACTAGGTACTTTTTTAATTTGTTCATTACACTAAATGCATCATTACACTAAAATAATCTCTGCAGTTTCTGCATTGATATATTTAGTATACATTGTTGTTTTATTATTCAATAGGTCTGGTCTATGTGAGACAGTTTTTTAATTTTATTATTTTTGTTTTTTTTCTTCAGTTAAAAACAACTAAATTTTTTTTAACAACATTATAAATCCAGCACTGTTTTTTAACAGATGGTTAAAAAACTCACTTTTACTATAAGTACATTTTTAATGAGCTACTAAAAAAAAGTAGCTCTTGTTGCTAGTTTAAATTTTTAATCTAGTAACAGGATATTCTCTGACAAACTTTGCACAAAATTGTTTTTTTGATAATGAAAGTTATTGTAGGATTTGTGTTTGGATAAAATGTGATACCAAAAGCTATACTGATAAAAACAATCAATGTTGATAAAATAAGTTAACTTAACAACATAACATTTAAAAATCTTAAGTATTTTTTAAATAAAACTTAATGCAACTTTTTTTATTATAATTAGTAGAGTTGAAAGTTGTTCTTTATGAAAAATTATTTTCAACACAATTAACACTGTTTAAATATAAAATCTTGACACATTCAACTTTTTTAAACATCAAAATGTTTTTTAATGTATACTAAAATAGTAATATCTATCATAGATTGAATAAAAATTGTAAAAGAAAAAAGAAAATTTTTAAAAATACTTTACAAATTATGTTACATAATAAACTTGCACTTTAAATTAAATTTTCATGTAAAAAACTTTACATGAAAATTGTTATGAGATGACTTTTATGCCAAGTTTTTTTGTGTAAAACTTTTACTATATGTCAGTCATATTAACCAGATTATAATGCTTATTTATCTTCTATACTATTATATATGCATGATGTTTACCCTGCGTATTGTTATGTTTAAAATTGATTTTGTTTTATAGATGATCTTCCTATTCGAGGTTTTATTGGTCATCTTGAAGAGGGTGGTTTTCTACCACACAAGCATAAAATTTTTCTTTGGACACATCTTAACTTTCATTTTCAGTATAATGGTAACCAGGTAAAAATTCTTTTTTCAATTTTAGTTTAAAATTTTCTGAACACAAAACTTGATTGATATTGATTTAAAGAAATTGTGGAGTTAAATGTTAAAAAAGTGGATTCAAGAGTCCCCTTTTTTTTCAGAATTCTGTTTAAGAAAAGAATATATTTATTATATTCTTTTTTTAAATAGAAAATCAGTTTGATTTATTTAATGTTTTTTGTTGAAGCAAAAAAAATTGTATGACATGTTCATTAATGTATATTTTATAATTGTTTTATTATTTTATTTTTATTATATTATTTTATTTTTTCCTTTTTATAACTGTTATCATGATAAACATTTATATTTATTTATGAAATTATTTATGAAAATTTCTCACATTTATACTAACAAAAATCATATAAATTTTTTATTCTACTTCTAAAAATATTTATAAAATTTAAACTTACTTTCAACTTCATCATCATCAAATTCATCATTAACTAAATAATAATTACAATCCTTACGCTTGAATTCAATTAAAATATACCAAATTACATAAAAATATTTATATTGAGTTTAATAAGAAACTGCAAATTCAACTAAAATGTAATTTACTTTCAGACAATTCAGCCACTAAAAAAAATTCCAAGTATAGAAGATAGGCAAAGTTAGAAACTGCAAAGATAAAATATAAAATAGAAGCAGCTTACAAACCTTTATTTAATTCTCCTTCATTATTTACATTTTCATTATTCATGTTTCCGTTATTCACATTTTTATTGTTATTATTTATTTTTTCAAATCAATAATAGAAAATTAAAAATAAACATTAGTAATAAAAAATAACTGCTAAATGCCAAAACCAAAAAACTTTTCAATTTTTGTTTTTTAAAAGAAAAGATAAAACAAACAAATGAGAAAGAATTACTACTAAACTAAACAGAATTTAAAGAAATTACTAATAAACTAAACAGAAACATAAATTAATAATCAAAAATTTTACTTATAAAATAACATTACTTAAAATTTATTAGTTTTATAAAATTAAGTAAATGTCAATTTTTTATTTAAGTATGATATTATGAAATAGTTGTAGTTATTTTTTACCAGCCCTTCCTGGGGTCAGTGTTATAAAACTTTTTATCAGCGTAAAATGCTACTGGCGGTAAATTTTACCGTCAAGTAGCATTTTACTGTACAACTTAAGTTATAACTTAAAGTTTAAGTTGCAGTTGTAATAAGCAATAACGTTTTTAATACTATTAAGATATTTCTTTAAGTATATTTTTACTTAACATGATACTTAAAAAAGTAAAAGTAAAAAAGTAAGAGAAAAAGCAACATTACAATATCTAAACCACTTTAATTAGTCAAAGAAAACTATTTAATACGTTCATGCTGACGTTAAAACATGTGTTAATTTAAAAAAGTATTTAATTGTTAAAAGCTATAAAACAACATTAAAACAAACTGCAAAGTTGTTTTAAAAATATAAAGAGCTTGGAATAATGTAAAGCAAATTCGTGATGCTGTTTCGTTTTGGTTTATACAGTTTATAAAATAAAACGCGTTTAAAATAAAAGGAAGCAAATAAATAAAATTGAGCTAGTTAATAAACTAAAACAAAACTTCTTTTTTGCGTCTATAGACCTATACGAGTTTGTAATCTATAGACCAAACGAGTAAGATCAAAGCAAAAAAACATTAGATACCACGTCTTTTATAAATTATCGTTTCCTGATCGAGCGTTCTATTAAAAATTTAAGTATAATTAAGTTTTTCATTTTTCAAAACATCAGTTTAAAAAGGTTTTTAAACTGATGTTTTCATTCAATTTTTTTTAATTCTAATTGTTTTCCAAAAAAAAAAGTGAAACAAAAAATTTTGTTTTATAAATCGAATTATTTTAAGTGTAAGAATATGCTTAAATTATTTTTTTAGAAAAAAAATTTTTTGAACAGAAGTAAAATAATTTATTAAATTTGATTTAAAATTTTTATAATTTTTATTTTAACTTGCAATTTGCAATCACAGCTTTGATGTTTGCAATAGAATGTTTCTACTTTTAAAATTATTTTCAAGAAAAAATATATAATTCAAAACGTTAACAAAATTTACGATTTACGAAAAAAAAACTTTCATCTTCATTCTCTCTTGTTTCATCAAACTTTTTTTTAATTTTTAAATTTTTTTTTCAATTTCAAATTTCAAGCACAAAATTATTCGAATAAGTGAATTTTAAGGCTAAAGTTCTCTTGTTCAAATAGATTTCTTTTTAATTAAAATTCCTGAAAACAACTTGAGTATTTATAGAAAATGTTTAGTCTAGATGTCGCTATAAATAAAATTAAAATATAAAAAAATGGTGTCGCGTTTTTCATATTATATTCAACAATTTTTGTTAAAATAATTACTAGTTAAAAGCTTATATTATGTTTTAACAATATGTAAGATCTAAATTGAAACATGTCTATGGCTAACTTTTGCGAGTATATTAAATAAATTAATATATTTGTTAAATTAATACTTGAGTAATAACTATCTTAAGTTACTATCTTAACTTAACTGGTTGTTTTAATTTAGGTTATAAGTTAATTTACTGAGATATACTCTATCCATTCAGTAAAGTTAAGTAAATATAACTTCAATAGTTTCAAGGTCGTTAAAAGCGAAAAACGTGAAAGCAAAAAAATTGCTGGTTTCTATTAGTACAATTTTACTAATAGAAATTTTATTTAATAAAAACAAATTAATATGTATTTTATTATACTTAAAGTAGTAAAAATAATTAAAAATAGTTATAGTATATAAAATTGTTTATAAAATAATAATTTAACTTATTAATAAGTTAATTCGGAGCAATGTTTTTATTGAAAAAAGATAAAAATGTTTTGTTAAAAAAAGATAAAAATGTTTTGTTAAAAAAAATAGAATGAAGAAAAAATTCTGTTTAACTTTTGTTTTTTTAATTTGCTACTAATCAGAGATTTAAAGTAATTTAAATTAAAAAGTGCTTTACGTTAAATAAAAATCTCCTCGCGAAAGAGCAAATGATCAATGCTTCTATTCAAAAGACAAACTTTGTGTGACGTACTTTACCACGAAAACATTACTTTTTTAGAATTGCCAAAAGAAAAAGCTAAATTAGAAAAAAAGTAAATAAACAACTAAACAGTAAACCAATCGCGAAAATATATGTTTTAAGAAAAAACTAATCGCTAAAGTATAAAAAGCTTTATACTTTAGCGATTAAAGTATAAAAAGCTTTATACTCGAATTAATCGCGATACGCTTAATTTGAGCCCTGTATTACTTTTTATTATATTATTGTTGTTGTTATTATTGTTATTATAGTTATTGTTGTTATTTTTACTGTTATTATTGTTATTATTAATATAGTATAGTGTATACTTTTTATAATCTTTACTATTACTTTTAATTGCTGTTATTACAACTATTATTTTTCCTTACTCCTACTTATATAATAACAATTATATAAGCTAATAATAATTATACGTATTATAATTATTATTAGCATCATTTTATTATATTGAATTTTACAGGTGTTTATTAGTACTTATGACTATTTGTAAATGACCTTGATGTAACAACTTTATTCAGAATATATTTGATTTGATTTAATTTGATCACTGAATATTTTGAAATTTAATAAAAAAACAATTATGCTAGAACAATGGTAATATTTTTGATAAAGAATACTTTCTGAATAAGAAGAAAAGATTTTTCTTCTTATTCAGAAAGTGTTTAGACATTATGTACAACTTGTTTCCAAGGTTTCTCATATTGTCTATGGTAAAAAAAGAATGTAAAAACATATTGTGAATATAATTCTAATCAGAAAGCATCAAAAGAGTTTTATGTTTAAATGTTTATTTGTGTCTAAATAAATTTTTGTTATAAGAATTTACATACTGAGTTTCGGAATAATTCTTTTAATTATTTAATATTTAAATTTTTTTTTTTTTTTAAAGTTTGTTTATGCAATTTTTCCTATTTTTTCTTCCAAATATAAATAAAAAATGTGTATAGAATATCTATATTTAAATCAACTCAATTTTCTGTGAACTTAGAATTCCAACTACAAAAAGTCTACAGAATATTTTATTGAATCTCAATTAGTAGTCTAAAGAAATCTCTATTTATATAGGCCATTGGTTTCAAAATGTCTATAGAAAATAGTATAAGTTATTTTAATAGAAAAACTGTACAAATTTTGTTATGGGGTAGGGTAAAAATTTAATGACAATTTCATTTTTTTACTTTCAAATTGTATTCTTAACAGTTTAAATATTGTTTGAACAGTTTTACTTCTCGTGGTTTTCTGATTTGCCAAATATTCTAAAGCAACAAAATATTCTTCAATCGGAACGGTCCAAATTCATAAGAAAACTGGATTTAAAACTTCAGTTTGTTAACTATGATGTTTTAAAAGTTTCAACTTAAAAACAATTTGTTTTTGACAAAATTTTATGTATTAAGATTATTATTGATCCGGACAATAGATTTCTAAAAATAAATTCAGAGCATAGATATTAGCTAAATTTGATGCGGAAAGGTTTTATAACATTGAATTGAAAAATATTTTACGACTTTTAATTTATAGCTGTAAAAATTCCTAAAGTAAAATTTACGCCAGTACCATTTTACGCCAATAAAAAGTTTTATAACATTGACCCCTGGTGTTAAATTTTTTTTACAGATTAAGACTGAGGTTTTTTATGGTGATACTAGCACTAGGAGAATTACTGTTTAAGGTTTGCTAGATCCTCTTACAGTCAATTAAATTGGTTATGCATATCCTTAGCTATGATAAAAGCAAGTTTTTTTTACCATAGCTAAGGATTTTCATCTGCCCTATATAAGAACTGTTTAACATCATAAACGTCATGGAATACATACATGGTGGGCTCAAAAAGTAAGGGGGCTAATTTTATGATAAAAGTTTCTATTTTTCTTCAATATTTAAGTTATCTCCTTTGAATTATTATCCTCTTTTTTTTTTATTTTAACATTGTAAACATATACCCATGGTTTATCCTTTTAATTGTAAACATATACCCATGATTTATTGATTATTATCCTTCTTTTTTTGTTGTTTCAACATTGTAAACATATACCCATAGTTTATCCTTCTAATTGTAATCATATACCAATGGTTTATCCTTTTAAATAATATCTTTTTTTTTTGTTTCAACATCATATGCATATACCCATAGTTTATTGATTATTATCCTTTTGAGTCAAATCAAGGTCATCATTGGTGACATTTAACAGCTCCTGAGCAATACTAATGTGACGGTTCTTCTTGACAAGTTTTGGAGCAAACTTTGCAGATACATGTTTTATGCCCAAAACATTTTTAAAAAATTGCATAGCATGAGCCAACCAATATGTCAACGTCCTTAGCATCTCCATATTTGCAATTTGATGATCTTTTAAAACAATTATCCTCACTGCTTTAAAGTTTTTATCTGTTGTTGATGTACTGACAATTGTTGTTAGCATCATTGGCATCTTCATTGGCCATTGTGGGAGAGCTTGTACCACTTTTTTTTACTCAGAGCAGACTCATTGCATGGCGCTGTCAATATTTCAAATGTTTATCCTTTTTTTTACACAAAATTAGATAGAATTTTTTGATTCATATTTTTAATAGTAGAAAAACACCAAGCACACCAAAGCATGTCTAGTATTTTTATCCATTAATAACAAATTAAATATGCTATATTATTGAAGCTGTAAAAAATATTTGGGAAATGTGTACCTGCACAAAAAGCAGAAAAATGTATGTTGCTTGTGAAATTTGAATTCATCTTTCTTTTTTAACACACCTTGTATATCATCTGCACTTTGAATTTGGCATGTTGATGCCAGGCTTTATGATTTTGATTGAATTTGCCAATATAGCTCCTAGATAACTGTTGCTACATAAAATTGCTATTAATTCAAAATCACTTAAATATTGCTTATTGAATTTAGATTATAGCAGCCAATGTATCAACTGCAAACACTTCCCCAGAGCTTTTGGATGAAATAACAGTTTATCCTAAAAATGTATTATTTACATACTCTGTTAAATGGACTGAAACAAGGTTAACATCTTTAAATTTTTATATATTGTTATTAATTTTATTAATATATAATTATTTAGAGTTTTTTAGAAAAATTTTAAATTCAGATTTGTGTCATAGTTTTTTGTTTTATCTATCAAGTTTATTGTTCACTTTATTTAAAGAATAAGGTTTACATGATAAAAAAAAGGGAAAAAATTAAAATTTCTTACCTTTCCATTAAAAATTTAATAGTCAAAAAATTAAATGTTCTATATACATTTTTATTATACAGGTGTTTGCATTTAAAAAAGATTTTTTTTTTTATTCTTTCATTTTATCACATAATATTTGCAATATTTTTTATTTGCTTTTAGCTTACCCTATTCAGAAAGATTGAGCAAAAGTGAAGCTGGAGGGTTTTTTCCTAAAACATTAGAGGTTTCTATTTTTCATTAGATTTTTACTTTTATTCACTTTAATTCTCCCAAGAGAGACTTTCAATTAAAAAAAAAATGCTCAGAATTCTGGAAGCATGCTTTCCAAAATATTTTAAAGTTAAGGATGTTACATCTAATTTAAAAGTTTTTTGAATAAACACTTCCCAGTGGCACAAAACATGTTTTAGTCTAAAAAGCGTATCAATAAATTTTTAGACGTCTTAAACACATCTTGTGCCCACTGAGTATTAGGTAAATGTAGGTTTCTGTTTTGAACAAATTGATTATCCGCTGCTATTTTTTTATTTTTTTTGTTTTTGGATTGGTTTGAAAATTATTAATCAGTATATATATTATATACATTAGGGTGTCTTAAAAAAAAGTTTCTGACTTCAATTTCCGCAATATGTAAAATCTCAATTTTTAAAATTTTTAATAAAGTTTGAGATTTTTACATTTTTTTAGATTAAAATTTTTTTTTTGAGAATGTAGAAAACCAGTGTTTTTAAGACTAGTTGGAGATCAGTTAGTTAGTCTGGTTTAAGATATTTTTTATAAAGATATTATGTAACATAATTTGTGTAAAATGTGTTATTTTTTTTGTGTGCCACTTGAAAAATATTTAGCATTAATAATAAAAGTATCAACTGAAATTAATCCTACTTAAAATAACTAAAATAAAAAAAGGTGAGAAGAGGAAGTACACTGCGTCAACTAATCTAAGAAGCAGGTGTTCTCCTGAAGTACCCATTCAATGAGCTTCCAAAAAACCAGCTAACAACTATCAGAAATATTCTAAGATTTATTTAGTTTCTAAAATCTCCCAGGTAGAACAAATAAAATCTAATTTTTTTTATAAATGCACTATAAAAATTATAGTTTTATGCAACAGGTTCTCATCCCCAAGTTTCAAAAAAAGAGGCACCATGAAGCAAAACATAAAAACAACAGTAACTAATGATAAATTTTCCATTTTATTTTGAGAATGCCTAAGAGGAGAATAATCAGTTCTATCTAGATTAAAAAGGAAAGAGAAACATGTATTACAGAAGAGCTGGCAGTCATTCCAGAAGTCAGTAAAAAATAAGTATATTCGGTTTAGGAGGATGATGGAGCCAAGATGTAACAGTAAAATGACAATGAATGTTAGAAAATAAAATGAACTTGAGGGTTTTTTTCATTCATCTGAAGTTAGTTTAGATTCTTCAGATGATAAAGGTTTACCTGATAAGTTCAGTCATTTTAATAAATAAAGGATAATGATATGTATAAATGCTGAAAATCTAGTTGACTGTGTATTGCTTCAGTTTCTGCTTGATACAGAGTAAATATATGTCCAAACACTTCATTAGTAACTGCAATATGCAATAAAGCTGATGTGAATCTTAAAAACATTAATCTATTGAGAAGTACAGTCCACAGAAAAAGATTCAGGAAAATTGAGATATTAGAAGACAATCTCAGGCAAAAAATATTAAACATTCTGAAGGAAAAAGAAGCTCAGTATTCATTTTGATGGAAAGCAGGCTAGGCAAATTGAAGAAAATTCAAACATAACTGTTTTTATATAAAAGATAGCACTCAGTGTTTCATCACCTAATATGGATGACACTGATGACATACTGCTGGTTGTTGTTTGCAGAAAAGTTACAAATTGTTACAAAAAGTTACCAAAAAAAAAGTTACAAAAAGTTACAAAAAAAAACAAAATAAGCTAGTTACAAATTGCCTACATTACGAAGGTTTTGAATGGAAGGAGGATGAAGGGCCTCAGGAGAATAATATCAAACTCCAAATAGCCAAGTATTCAGTCAATGAGGAGGTGGGTTAGATGATAGACCTAGTTATGTTTGGTTGGAGTCAGCTTCAGGCTAGACCGCCCCTACATCATGTTATTAAGGAAGCTCTGGAGTTTAGGAAAAGGGCCCTTGTTACAAAGACATTTGCCAAAAGTGATTCCAGAAAACTCTGCAAATTTTTTGAATTCTTTTTGGAAGGAGAAGTATCTGGCTTTTGTTCCTATCAACACGGAGGTTGCCATGAAGCTAATTACTGTTTACTGCAAAAAGCTTTATACATTCTTACCTTGAGAATAATTGATAAAACTACCATGAAACGAAAAAAAAAAGATGGACTTTGTAAGTGGATACAAGTTTGACAAAATGTAACAAACCTTAATACTGGTGGTTAGAAACAACAAGAAGAAACTTTAAAAAAACCCCGCTCCATGAACCAATGTTTAAAGTTTATCATACCTAAAATATATACTTTTTGATAGATGCTTGCAACTTTGTTAAGGAAATATGTAAAAATTTGATTTTTAACAAAAAAAAAAGGATTTTTACATATTGCTAAAATTGAGATTAGAAAATGTTATATATATATATATATATATATATATATATATATATATATATATATATATATATATATATATATATATATATATATATATATATATATATATATATATATATATTATCAGGAAACATATGAGAAAGGGAATAAACTGTGTGCACATTCAAATGAAAAAAAAATGAAATTTTAAAATACCCTAATATACACACACATGTTGTTGCTCAACAGCATTTTCTATTTAAAAATGTTTTAATACAAGTAGTTAAGTCTTATTTCATCTACATTTTGCTAACTGGTAGCTAAGGAGTGTAGTTAGCAATCTTCATTTCAAAATTACTGTCTTTTTTGTAATAAATTGTTTTTAATCAGATTCTAGCTCATGTAGCTAGCAATCCTCGATTGCTAGCTACATAAGTCCATAAAAATTGCTAACTTATTGCTACCTTATATAGCTACCATAAATTGTCTTTATTTGTACTGGTTGGCCTTAACAAAGAAAAGTCAACACTACTATCAAAGGTGGTTTTTACCTTCCTGCAATGGAACATTTTAGTTACGTCAGATAAACCATCATAACCGAAATGTTTTTCTATTTGGTACTTCTCAAAGGTTATAAACCATTTGATTAGTATAAAGTATTTAAGGAACAAAAAAAATAACATTTTTATAAGGCCACCAGAGTCATCTGTCTGCTCCATAAAATAAACCTGTAACAGATATTTATGTGGTTTACAAACATTAATTTACACTTACTAGTATTGAAGTGCATCCTATTGCATTCTAACTGAATGGCTATCTAGGAAAGAAGCTCATTACTTATTTTATATGGTTGCAAACTAGAGATGTCGATAAGGTATCTTCAAATGTGTTTAAAAAATGAGTAAAGCAATATTTGGTAATGTAATGAATAGCATTAGTTAAAAATTTGGTTAGATGTGTATTAAGCAATTTCTGATAAAGATAATTAAAGTCATACTGGTGCACCAGTCAATCATAAAAGAAATTTTAGTTTTTACAGCATGGGTTATTGAAAAGCTAGCTGCTATCTCAGTTTTATTTTAAAAATTTATTGTATATATACATTTATAAGTGTTTATATATATATATTTTTTTATTTTTACAGCGTCGACCATATTTGGGCGTCGATATGCCGAATATAATTTGTGGAATCTTTCTTTTCTTTTTTTTTTTTTTAAGTTTTTTACGACAGATGTTAATTTTTTTTGTGAATAAATGCCGATTTTCTACTAAATCTCCCTGGGACAGAGGGGTGCCGCCACCCAAATTTTTTTCCTAGAATAGGCTCTGATGTTATATATTATTTATATGTTACTGATAATTTGAAAAAATACTTTTTACAGTACTAACAAATCAAGCAAGTTAGGTAAAAATTAGAGTTTTGAATTAGATTTGTCTATCGGCACTAACACAATTTTTTTAATCTTTCACATGTCATCTTCAGCCATTTGCAACTCCAAACTTAAGTTTATGCTCATGCTTATGTCAAATGTTAATATTTTGCAAAAAAAAATGACACTAATTAAAGTCTTGAAACAAAAACACTTAAAAAATTAGCTCATGCAAATTAGTTCATTTGTCTTCATGTGTGAGGGTGATAAGCTATTAAAATATATAGTTTTAGTAGCTTATACTTAATATAAATTCATCAACATGAAATTTAAAACTTGCATATGAATTGCTATGAAATTGTTATATGAAAAACATCAAAATGCTCTGTGGATGCACACTGATTTGTCCAAATATATTATAATTACATAAAATGTTAATAAAAAAAACATTTTTTTTTTTAACATGAAAATAAAATTTTTATTAAATTCAAACAACAGCAACAAGATGTTTAAATTCCTCAAAATTTACAATCATATAATTACAATATAATAATAATAATAATAATAATAATAATAATAATAATAATAATAATAATTATAACAATAATGTTATAATATCTATAATGTTATAAATAATAAAATCCTAATACCATTATTAAGAATAATTATAATTAATTGCTTGACAAGGAAGGGGTCACTCATGCAGAAATCTGATCAAAGGAGTGACACTAAATAATTATATTAGTAATATTAATTTAAAAAATAATGATAATAACAATAATAACTTTATTCATTAATAGAGCAAAAGTAACAGCAAAAATAATAGTATTTATAATAAATAAAAATAAGAAAACTAAAAGAAGTTAATAATAATAAAAAATTAAAATAATTTTTTTTTTGAATTTGTTTAAATTTATTTTGTTTTAAATAAAGAAATGAAAATAAATTGTTTTGAAGTTTTTTTTTTTCAAACTCATTCACAATGCACACAAGACTTCGATTTCATTCATTGATGCACTGATGTGTAATTGAATACTTACCATAACTCAAAGTTTTATAGGGAGAGACATTTAGTTTTTCATTATTAGTAGAAGAAGATTATCAGCAAATTTAACTAGTGCTGATAAGGTAGAAATTTTAAGTTTTTTTTGAAGTTTCTGTATTATGGGGTTGAAAATTTATTATTCTGATTGATTGACACTGAGCTGATAACAGTTTATTAATATTACAGTTGCCGATTTGTCCCTAAACCTGACAACAGTAGTTAACATGAGACTGAAAAATTACAAAATAC